ATGTCTGGGTGGTGGGCCCGCTGTCAGCTCTGCCCACCCCCAGTGTATAATCCTGTGTCTGGATGATGGGTCCACTTTTACCCTTTGCTCCAGGGCATATAGTAACGTGTCTGGGTAATGGGCCAGCTGTCACCTTTTGCCCCTGGGGTGCATAGTGATATGTCTGGGTAATGGGCCAGCTGTCACTTTTTGCCCCTGGGGTGCATAGTGATATGTCTGGGGTGATGGGCCCGCTGTCACCTCTACCCACCCTCAATGTATAACCCTGTGTCCTGTTGCTAGGCCCACTTTTGCCTTTTACCCCAAGGCATATACAGTAATAATGTGTCTGATTAATGGGCCAGTTGTTGCGTTTTGCCCCTGGGATGCATAATGATATGTCTGGGTGATGGGCCCGCTGTCAGCTATGCCCACCCCCAGTGTATAACCCTGTGTCTGGATGATGGATCCACTTTCACCCTTTTCTCCAGAGAATATAGTAACGTGTCTGGGTAATGGGCCAGTAGTCGCCTTTTGCCCCTGGGGTGCATAATGATATGTCTGGGTGATGGGCCCGCTTTTACCTCTGCCCACCCCCAATGTATAACCCTGTGTCCTGTTGATAGACCCACATTTGCCTTTTACCCCAAGGCATATACAGTAATAATGTGTTTGGGTAATGGGCCAGCTGTCATCTTTTGCCCATGGGGTGCATAGTGATATGTCTGGGTGATGGGCCCGCTGTCAGCTCTGCCCACCCCCCAGTGTATAACCCTGTGTCCTGTTGATAGGCCCACTTTTGCTTTTTCACCCCAAGGCATATACAGTAATAATGTGTCTGATTAATGGGCCAGCTGTCGTGCTTTTGCCCCTGGGGTGCATAATAATATGTCTGGGTGATGGGCCCGCTGTCAGCTATGCCCACCCCCAATGTATATCCCTGTGTCTGGATGATGGATCCACTTTCACCCTTTGCTCCAGGGCATATAGTAACGTGTCTGGGTAATGGGCCAGCTGTCACCTTTTGCCCCTGGGGTGCATAGTGATATGTCTGGGTGATGGGCCCACTTTTACTTCTGCCCACCCCCAATGTATAACCCTGTGTCCTGTTGATAGGCCCACTTTTGCCTTTTTACCCCAAGGCATATACAGTAATAATGTGTCTGGGTAATGGGCCAGCTGTCGTCTATTGCCCCTAGGGTGCATAGTGATATTATCTGGGTGATAGGCCCGCTGTCACCTCTAGCCAACCCAAATGTATAAACCTGTGTCTAGATGATGGGTCCACGTTCACCTTTTTCTCCAGGGCATATAGTAATGTGTCTGGGTAATTGGCCAGCTGTTACCTTTTGCTCCTTGGGCGCACAGTGATATGTCTGGGTGATGGGCCCGCTGTCACCTCTACCCAACCCAAATGTATAACCCTGTGTCTGGATGATGGGCCCACTTTCACCTTTTTCTCCAGGGCATATATAGTAATGTGTCTGGGTAATGGGCCAGCTGTTACCTTTTGCTCTTTGGGCGCACAGTGATATGTCTGGGTGATGGGTCCATGGCATATAACATTAGGTGCAGACGATGGGCTCCGCTTTTACCCCAAGGCGTATAATGATGTGTCTGGGTGGTGGGCTCATTGTCTGCTTAGCTGACCCATCACCTAGACACAGGATGGCACTTTCAGGGTGGGCAAAACAGACAACGGGCCCATCACCCAGACTTATGGCAAAAGATGACAGCTGACCCATCGCCCACGCACAGGGTTATACATTTGAGGTGTGCAGTCACCTTTTGCCCCAGGGCATATAGTCATATGTCGGAGTCATTGGGCCGTTGTCTGCTTTGCCCACCCCGAATGTATAACCTTGTGTTCCAGCTAATGGGTCAGACCCGCTGTCACCTTTTGCTCCCAGAGCATATAGTGTTGCCCCGGGGTGATGGGCCCACTGTCACCTCTGCCCACCCTGAATGTATAACACTGTGACCGGATGAAGGGTCTGCAGTCACCTTTTGCCCCCAGAGCATATAGTGTTGCCCCGGGGTGATGGGCCCACTGTCACCTCTGCCCACCCTGAATGTATAACACTGTGACCGGATGAAGGGTCTGCAGTCACCTTTTGCCCCCAGAACATATAGTATTGCCGCGGGGTGATGGCCACTGTCACCTCTGCCCACCCTGAATGTATAACACTGTGACCGGATGAAGGGTCTGCAGTCACCTTTTGTCCCCAGAACATATAGTGTTGCCCCGGGGTGATGGGCCCACTGTCACCTCTGCCCACCCTGAATGTATAACACTGTGACCGGATGAAGGGTCTGCAGTCACCTTTTGCCCCCAGGGCGTATAGTGATATGTCCGGACGACAGGCCCGGTCTGGAGACTAATAAAGGGAGTTTTTATAAACCTTGTCTGTGCCTCCTCAGTTTTTATAATACATTTTATAAACTGCAAACTAGCAGCTACCCAAAGGAACCAACTCAGTACAGTAAACAGATGTGGTTGCTGAATGGTGGTCTCAATGCTACCTTGATGACCGTTCTTGTATCTGGACATGCATATGGACAGTCATGTGACCAGACGTGGGAGGGGTTATGTATGTTGAGGTTCTCCAATACACAACTGAGTGGAGGGTCTTCCCAGTGCTGACACTAACATGTGGATAGTTGTGCACTGTTAGCCTTAGTATGGTGAAGAGTGGTGGGGTTTTTCCAGTACACACAATAGGACTTAATATCAGGTCACGTACACTCAGCCTGTGTGCTGCAGCAGTCCTCCGTTCATTGCACACGCCAAGGAGGCAATCACCAATTACTCTTTAGCCTAGGTTGAGATGATGATGTTAGTCTGCTGCAGGCAGGAGGAAGCATTTCCTCAGTCTCCCCTCCCCCAGTGATCAGACTACATTGTAAATTTGTAGCAAGTCCCATAAAAAGAGGCTGCAGCAGGGGCTGATCTGTAACAAACAATTGTGAACATAAGCAAGAACTACAAAAGCACCAGGACTTAAATGACTTATTTCTGAGCTGGCAACTTGGTACAGGAAGTAGATAGTGACCCTGGATGATGCCTGAACAAAGATGGTGCAGTCCTTCTATAGAGAGAAGATGAAGCCATTGACAGGGTGCCTATCGGGATCTTGGTGGAAGGTAATAAATACTTGTTAGTGTTGCACTAATATATCAGCATGATTCACATTACATATATCTCATGACAGGTCCACTTAACCTATGACTGGAATGCCTACAGCTGGTGAGTTAACTGTCTAGTATTCTGGGACCCCCAAAGACACAATTCGTGATATCTCTCTGCAACCCCCAAAAACAGGTTTTCGTCAGAGTCAGGACACATGGGAACCCCCCTCTAGTTAAGGGAAGGGTTCCACCTAGTCAGGGTCAGGAATTCCTCCTGTGGTTAGGGGCAGGGTTGCACCTATTCAGGGTTGGGACCGTCAGGAATTCCTCTGGTTAGGGGCAGGGTTGCACCTGGCCAGGGTCGGGACCATCAGGAATTCCTCGTCTGGTTAGGGGCAGGGTTGCGCCTGGCCAGGGTCGGGACCATCAGGAATTCCTCCTCTGGTTAGGGGCAGGGTTGCGCCTGGCCAGGGTGGGGACCATCAGGAATTCCTCCTCTGGTTAGGGGCAGGGTTGTGCGCTGGCCAGGGTGGGGACCATCAGGAATTCCTCCTCTGGTTAGGGGCAGGGTTGCACCTGGCCAGGGTGGGGACCATCAGGAATTCCTCCTCTGGTTAGGGGCAGGGTTGCACCTGGCAGGGTGGGGGCCATCAGGAATTCCTCCTCTGGTTAGGGTGGGGTTGCACCATCATCAGGAATTCCTCCTCTGGTTAGGGGCAGGGTTGCACCTGGCCAGGGTGGGGACCATCAGGAATTCCTCCTCTGGTTAGGGGCAGGGTTACACCTGGCCAGGGTGGGGACCATCAGGAATTCCTCCTCTGGTTAGGGGCAGGGTTACACCTGGCCAGGGTGGGGACCATCAGGAATTCCTCCTCTGGTTAGGGGCAGGGTTACACCTGGCCAGGGTGGGGACCATCAGGAATTCCTCCTCTGGTTAGGGGCAGGGTTGCACCTGGCCAGGGTGGGGACCATCAGGAATTCCTCCTCTGGTTAGGGGCAGGGTTGCACCTGGCCAGGGTGGGGACCATCAGGAATTCCTCCTCTGGTTAGGGGCAGGGTTGCACCTAGTCAGGGTCGGGACACCCAGAAATCCCTCCTCTTATTAAGGGCAGGGTTGCACCTAGTCAGGGTCGGGACAATCAGGAATTCCTCTGGTTAGGGGTAGGGTTGCACCTAGTCAGGGTCGGGACACCCAGAAATCCCTGCTCTGGTTAGGGGAAGGGTTACACCGAGTTGGGATTGGGACACCCAGGAATCCCCTCTCTGGTTTAGGGAAGGGTTGCACCTAGTGGGGATGGGACACCCAAGAATTGCTCAGCTGGGTAAGGGGAAGGGTGGCATCTAGTCTGAGTTGGGACACATAGGAATCCCCGCTCTGTTTAAGGGAAGGGTTACACCTAGACAGGGTTGGGGCACCCAGGACTCCCCTATCTGGTTAAGGGAAGGGTTATACCTAGTCAGGGAAAGGACACCTAGAAACCCTTCTCTCTGATTAAGGGAAGGGTTGCCCCTATACAGGGTCAAGACACTCAGGAATTACCCCCCCCCCCCCCCCCAGTAAGGGAAAGTGTTGCACCAATCCAGAGCTGATGTGGCCTCAGCTTTGAAGCTTAATGGTCATTGAACGGGGGAGGAGCAAGGAGTGTCTTTTTGGGATCCTGAAACAAAGGGTGGGCTTTCCAAAATAATACTCTGCCAATGTACTGCAGTTGTTAAATATACAATATTGAGAATGATCTGCATTATGTTTGTATTGTAAATCTGGTTTATTGAGGTATTCGGTTTGAAAATACTTCATTACAGTGCAGGAGGACTGGATGGTGGGGTCATTGGCTTCAAAGCAGATGCCTTCTTTTAGCACAGGCCCAGCCAGCTCAAGGGGAGAACCAGCATCAAGAGAAGTGTTCATCGGCTGTAGCCTCCCTCAGCTCTTTGCTGTGACCAAGCACGGCCTCCATAAACTGGCTGAAGATGCGGTCCATATATCTCTGTTGATTGGGGAAGGCACCTTCCAGAAAGCCGATATGTCCACCATGAGCTGTGATCAGGAGAGCCACGTTAGGGTTAGCCAAGGCCTCATTCACCGGAATGGCTGCAATGAGAGACACAACAGAAACCATGGGTGAGAGAGAGACAAGATAAAGAACATGGGTGATAGAGGAATAGTGCAGAAAAAATGGGGTGAGAGTGAAAAAACCGAACACGAGCGAATTGAGATGAGATGGAGAACGTTTGTGAGAAAAACAAGAGAACATAGGTAAGAGAGAAACAAGACAGAGACCATGTGTGAAAGCCAGAGCTGAGATGGATACAGAGAGCATGGGTGAGAGAGACAAGAAAGAGAACATGATGGGGGGGGGGGAGAGAGAGACAAGGCAGAGAACATGTGTGAAAGCAGAGCAGAGATGGATACAGAGAGCATGGGTGAGAGAGACAAGAAAGAGAACATGGTTGGGAGAGAGAGACCACCCAGAACACTGAGAGAGGGAGAGACAAGACGGAGAACATGGGGGACAGACTGAAAGAGACGAGAGAGATCATGGTGGGGAGAGAGAGACAAAACAGAGAACATGGTTAGGAGGGAGAGAGAGACCAGACAAAAAACAAGGAAGAGACAGACCAGAAAACATGGGGGGGAGAGAGACATGGGGGGGGGGGGGGAGAGAGACCAGAGAATATGGGGGGGGGGGGAGAGAGAGACAAAAACATGGTGGGGGAAGAGAGAAGAGACAAGACCATGGTGGGGAAGAGAGACGAGACAGAGACCACGGTGGGGAGAGCGAGACGAGACAGAGACCACGGTGGGGAGAGCGAGACGAGACAGAGAACATGGTGGGGAGAGAGAGAGACACGAGACAGAGAACATGGTGGGGAGAAAGACACGAGACGGAAAACATAGTGGGGAGAAAGACACGAGACAGAAAACATAGTGGGGGGAGAGAGTTAAGAGACAGAGAACATGGTTGGGAGAGAGAGACAACACAGAGAACATGGAGGGAGGGGAGAGACAAGACGGAGAACATGGGGGAAAAGACTGAGAGAGACGAGAGATCATGGTGGGGAGAGAGACAAAACAGAGAACATGGTTAGGAGAGAGAGAGACCAGAAAACATGGGGAGGGAGAGACAAGGGAACATGGGGGAAAGACTGAGGGAGAGATCATGGTGGGGGAGAGAGACAAAACAGAGAACATGGTTAGGGAGAGAGAGAGACAAAAAACATGGGGGGAGGGGGGGGGGGAGAAGAGACCAGAGAACATGGTGGGGGAAGAGAGACGAGACAAACAACATGGTAGGGGAAGAGAGAGAGACAGAGACCATGGGGGGGAGAGCGAGACGAGACAGAGAACATGGTGGGGAGAGAGAGACACGAGACAGAGAACATGGTGGGGAGAGAGAAAGAGATTAGACTGAGAACATGGTGGGGAGAAAGAGAGACGAGACAGAGAACATAGTGGGGAGAGAGAGAGATTAGACAGAGAACATGGTGGGGAGAGCGAGACTAGACCGAGAACATGGTGGGGAGAGAGATGAGACAGAAAACGTGGGGAGAGAGATGAGACAGACAACCGGGGGGAGAGAGAGATGAGACAAAGAACATGGGGTGAGAGACAAAGACAGAGAACATGGTGGGGAGAGAGAGACGAGACAGAAAACATTGAGAGAGAGAGACTAGACAAAAAACATGGTGGGGAGAGAGAGCGACAAGACAGAAAACATGGTGGGGAGAGAGATGAGACAGAACATAGGAGAGAGAGAGACGAGACACGACACAGAACATGGGGGGGAGAAAGAGAGAGTTGAGACGCAGAATACATTGAGGAACACTTCTACTGGCTCTTCCCGAGACATCCTAGCAGAAATGTATCCCGTCAGATAGACAGGACATTTGTGGAACTTCCCCCACAAGGACATCCAAGGAATGCTCACACTGGCTCTTCTTGGATGTTCTAGCAGAAGTTTATCAATACAGTTAGATGGGACATTTGTGGAGCTTCCCAGAAGGACATCTGAGGATTGTGCACGCTGGTTTCTCTTGAGATGACCTAGCAGACATTTATACATACCATACATACAGATACAGTACATTTGTAGCACTTGCCTTAAGAACACAGCTGAGGAATGCTGGCCCTGGCTCTTCTTGGGATGTCCCAGCATATGTTTATCCATATGGAGAGACAGGATATTTTTGGAACTTGCCCCAAGAACATCTGAGAAACACCAATCCAAACCCTACACCACCAGGGGACATAGGATGGAGCTACTCCGCCCTTATCTGTTCAATGTTCGCTTTACCACCTTCACCATTGGAGGAACTCTACCCTTATCTGTCCAGTGTCTACTATACCCTCCTCGCCCTCAGAAGAGCTCCACATGGCTCAATGTATGCAAGAGCCAAGAAAAAATAAAAGCACAGCTTACTCTCTACACCAGGGGTCTCCAAACTTTGCAAACAGAGGGCCTGTTTACTGTCCTTCAGACTTTAGGGGGCTGGATTGTGGCCAATGGGAGTAGAAAATGTTCTGGGCTCAGCATCTGTGAGAATAAACATATCCTCAGAGTTCGTGGTCAAAGAAGGAGGAATAGTACCCCATCATTGGTATCAGTGGGAGGAGTAGTACCCCATCGTTTATCAGTGGGAGGGATAGTGCCCCATCATTGATATCAGTGGGAGCAATAGTGCCCCATCATTATTTGCAGAATTATGTACCACTGTTGTGTGTCAGTGAGAGGAATAGTGCCCCAAGAACCAAATAAAGGTTAGCAAAGGGCTGCATCCAGCCCTCGGGCTGCAGTTTGAGGACCACTGCTCTACACCACTGGGGGTAACATATACCAAGGGGGGAGCTACTCCATCCTCATTTGTCCACTATCCACTGTACCCTCCTCAACCTCAGGGGAGCTCTGCATGTACCATATAGGGAGCTACTCCACCCTCATCTATCCATTGTTCACTTCACCATCCTCCCTCAGAGGAGCTTTGCATGACCCAGTGTACTTGAGTGGCAGAGAAAAGGAGAACACCACCTACTCACCAAAACACCAGGGGTGCCATAGGGATGAGCTACTCCATCCCCAGCCATTCACTATACCCTCCTCACCACAAAAAAATATCAGAATTTCAAAGAAATCCTTCGCATATAGAGCTGAGAGTGGATGGAGCTGTTCACGCTCCTTGTGAAACAACACATCAAGCTGGAGGTGTCTGTCTCCCTGTTGAAGTGTTCCACCCACTTCCTGTCTGATAAAACGTCACCAGAACAGGAAATGAAAGGAAATCACTCTAATGGGGCCCCAGACAACAGTAAAAACCAAACGGGTTCTAACCCTTCTCCTCTCTACCAGGGGCGGACTGACCATTTGGAAACTCAGGCAGTGCCCGAGGGCCCGGGGTCAGTAGGGGCCCCATGAGATGCCCCTGGTATCTTTTTCATAGGCTTTTTTGAGTTTGGGCAAGGACACGGGCCCCATGATCCCCTATTGCCCGGGGCCCCATGAGTTATCAGTCCGCCCCTGCTCTCTACCCAAAACAAAGAACAAAGGTTTTTGGTGGACATACACTCCAAGTACATTACCGATACTAGGCAAGCAGTGTTCATCTTATCTTATCTAAGTGAGGCTGTGATACTCTCCTTGGATCTTTGGTTGCCATGAACGTGCCACTAGGCTGCCCTAGGCTATTTGGAGTAGTCATGCGGTGTTATGGCTCAGCATGTGGGACTGTGCTATCTAGTGCCCCGTGGACAGTAATCAGACTGTATCTACAGAAAGGCCATGCTAACTGGCACCTCCTATGAACAATGGTTTCTTGGGGAAGTTGTTGGCGGGTATTGTAGGCAGTATTGTTGGGTATTTTGCAGTATTGACAGGTGGCACATAGTTTGGCATAAGGAGATGGTGCCACAGCACCATGAGTTTCGATGAGGAGCGATTTTAGAAGAGGTTCAGGGACTTCTTTTTTGCGCTTCTAGCAAGTAGAGCAACCCACTTAAATGAATGAATGCCCCCTATGGGCAATGGCTTCCTTTGGGTATTGGGGCAGTTTGGAGGTGTTAGGACTCAAAATATGGAGTCATTTTATATAGTGGCCCCCATGGACAATGGGGGGGTCTTTATCTGTGGGAAAGCCATGATATCCAGTAGCCATATGGACAGTAAATGGTCTGAATTTGCTGGAAGACCATGATATCTGGCACCTCCTATGGACAATGGCTTCCAGGAGGTGTTGAGGTAATCAGAAGGCGTTATGGCTCAATATATGGGGTCATGATATCTAGTACCTTCTATGCACAATGGAGGGGCTGTATTTATGGGGAAGCCACTAGAGATGAGCGAATCGAACATGGCGAAGTGGAATTCGTTTCGAATATTGGGAAATATTCGATTCGCGCCGAATCCGAAAATTAGCCAACTTCGGATGCACGAATCGAATTTTCCCAAAAATGGCAGCGACATGTGTGGCGACGGAGCGGGGATCTCTGGGAAGGCGCGCAGACAAGGCGCGCTGACCCATAATGCATTCATTCATGACATGTGATCGCATTAGCCAATCAGCAGCCAGCCAGCCAGCCAGCACTGTGTAATGGTGGAGCTATAAATTGCGGCCATCTTACAATTCTCCATTAGCCTCCGGTCATTCAAGAGAGACAGACCTGTCTGTATTAGGGACAGAGTTAGGGCCAGAGAGACTTTAGGGCCACAGAATCGTTACTTAGGGACACAGAATCGTTACTTAGGGACACAGAATCGTTACTCAGGGACACAGAATTGTTACTCAGGGACACAGAATTGTTACTCAGGGACAGACACAGAATTGTTACTGAGGGACACAGAATTGTTACTGAGGGACACAGAATTGTTACTCAGGGACACAGAATTGTTACTCAGGGACACAGAATTGTTACTCAGGGACAGACACAGAATTGTTACTGAGGGACACAGAATTGTTACTGAGGGACACAGAATTGTTACTGAGGGACACAGAATTGTTACTCAGGGACACAGAATTGTTACTGAGGGACACAGAATTGTTTACTGAGGGACACAGAATTGTTACTCAGGGACACAGAATTGTTACTCAGGGACAGACACAGAATTGTTACTCAGGGACAGACACAGACACAGAATTGTTACTCAGGGACACAGAATTGTTACTCAGGGACAGACACAGAATTGTTACTCAGGGACACAGAATTGTTACTCAGGGACACAGAATTGTTACTCAGGGACACAGATATGTTACTCAGGGACAGACACAGAATTGTTACTCAGGGACACAGAATTGTTACTCAGGGACAGACACAGAATTGTTACTCAGGGACACAGAATTGTTACTCAGGGACACAGAATTGTTACTGAGGGACACAGAATTGTTACTCAGGGACAGACACAGAATTGTTACTCAGGGACACAGAATTGTTACTCAGGGACACAGAATTGTTACTGAGGGACAGACACAGAATTGTTACTGAGGGACAGACACAGAATTGTTACTGAGGGACACAGAATTGTTACTGAGGGACACAGAATTGTTACTGAGGGACACAGAATTGTTACTGAGGGACACAGAATTGTTACTCAGGGACACAGAATTGTTACTCAGGGACACAGAATTGTTACTCAGGGACAGACACAGAATTGTTACTCAGGGACACAGAATCGTTACTCAGGGACACAGAATCGTTACTGAGGGACACAGAATCGTTACTGAGGGACACAGAATCGTTACTGAGGGACACAGAATCGTTACTCAGGGACACAGAATCGTTACTCAGGGACACAGAATCGTTACTGAGGGACACAGAATCGTTACTGAGGGACACAGAATCGTTACTGAGGGACACAGAATCGTTACTGAGGGACACAGAATTGTTACTCAGGGACACAGAATTGTTACTCAGGGACACAGAATCGTTGAATTAAAGAGTATGTCAGACAACACGCAGAGGAGTGGCAGAGGAGGCAATGTTTCAGGAGCGAGCAGACGTGGCAGCAGAGGAAGGGGTCGAGGCAGCACTAGTCGCAGCCAGAGGCCAGTGCTCCCGGTGTCATCCAGCGGTCGTGTCTCCACCGACAACCCTGCCATCATCGATTGGTTGGCTCGGTCGTCTTCCTCTTCCCAGGTCACCTCTGACACCTACAGCCAACGGTCGGTGGGTACGTCAGACACAACCGTTGGCATGGCCCGAGAGCAAGCCCACTGAAATCACGTGTCCTCTACCTGCCCCTGTCCTTTGGTGTTCCCTCACCAAGCGAAGTATCGCATGCTGTGGGCTCAGCCCCACTGTACAGTGAGGAAGAGCTAACAGAGGGCGGTCAGGAACGGGGGGAGACATCCGCCTCTTCAGCAGCCAGGCGAAGAAGTACTGGCGAGGAGAGTGGCTCGGTAGCCGGTCTAGAGACAGGTCTGTCTCCTGACCCACACGCAGCCGAGGGGGCTAGTAGTGAGGCGGAGACCCTAATTGATGATGATGAGGCTGATCGCACTTGGCAGCCTCGTCGTCATCAGGCTATTGCTTCCGCATCATCAGGAGAAGAGGGTGCCAGCTTGGCAGCGAGCAAAACAGTCGGTGGGTTGCCCAGGAGGCAGCAGGGTCGCAGCAGTGTCAGTGGAGGCAAACGGCCACGGAGTAGAGCACCAGCTCCACTGCAGCCTACCACCACGGCCAGTAGTGGTGCCGGTGTGCACGGAGGAAGTAGCAGTCAGCCAGTGAGGAGTAGCGGGGGCAAAGTTTCCTACTCGGCGGTGTGGCAATTTTTCGTCAAGCCGCCCGAGGAAGTAAACGTAGCCGTATGTCGACTATGTGGCCAGAAAGTCAAGCGTGGCCAGGGGGCCCATGTCTCCATCGCCACACTCTGCCATGTGCCACTTTCAGGTCTCCTCACACTGCTGGTGGGTTCCATTTTGTCATAGGGTGCTGGCAGATTACGGGCCTCCCATTGCTGCTGCCAGGCCTGTAATCTGTCATGGGCCCCTGTACCGCCTCCTCATGCTGCTGCCAGGCCCGTAATCTGTCATGGGTCCCTGTACGGCCTCCCATTGCTGCTGTCTCCATCGCCACACTCTGCCATGTGCCACTTTCAGGTCTCCTCACACTGCTGGTGGGTTCCATTTTGTCATAGGGTGCTGGCAGATTACGGGCCTCCCATTGTTGCTGCCAGGCCCGTAATCTGCCATGGGCCCCTGTACCGCCTCCTCATGCTGCTGCCAGGTCCAGAGTGTGTCATGGGTCCCTGCACGGCCTCCCATTGCTGCTGTCTCCATCGCCACACTCTGCCATGTGCCACTTTCAGGTCTCCTCACACTGCTGGTGGGTTCCATTTTGTCATAGGGTGCTGGCAGATTACGGGCCTCCCATTGCTGCTGCCAGGCCCGTAATCTGCCATGGGCCCCCGTACCGACTCCTCATGCTGCTGCCAGGCCCGTAATCTGTCATGGGCCCCTGTACCGCCTCCTCATGCTGCTGCCAGGTCCAGAGTGTGTCATGGGTCCCTGTACGGCCTCCCATTGCTGCTGCCAGGCCCGTAATCTGCCATGGGCCCCCGTACCGACTCCTCATGCTGCTGCCAGGCCCTTAATCTGTCATGGGCCCCTGTACCGCCTCCTCATGCTGCTGCCAGGTCCAGAGTGTGTCATGGGTCCCTGTACGGCCTCCCATTGCTGCTGCCAGGCCTGTAATCTGCCATGGGCCCCCGTACCGACTCCTCATGCTGCTGCCAGGCCCGTAATCTGTCATGGGCCCCTGTACCGCCTCCTCATGCTGCTGCCAGGTCCAGAGTGTGTCATGGGTCCCTGTACGGCCTCCCATTGCTGCTGTCTCCATCGCCACACTCTGCCATGTGCCACTTTCAGGTCTCCTCACACTGCTGGTGGGTTCTATTTTGTCATAGGGTGCTGGCAGATTACGGGCCTCCCATTGCTGCTGCCAGGCCCGTAATCTGCCATGGGCCCCCGTACCGACTCCTCATGCTGCTGCCAGGCCCGTAATCTGTCATGGGCCCCTGTACCGCCTCCTCATGCTGCTGCCAGGTCCAGAGTGTGTCATGGGTCCCTGTACGGCCTCCCATTGCTGCTGCCAGGCCCGTAATCTGCCATGGGCCCCCGTACCGACTCCTCATGCTGCTGCCAGGCCCGTAATCTGTCATGGGCCCCTGTACCGCCTCCTCATGCTGCTGCCAGGTCTAGAGTGTGTCATGGGTCCCTGTACGGCCTCCCATTGCTGCTGCCAGGCCCGTAATCTGCCATGGGCCCCCGTACCGACTCCTCATGCTGCTGCCAGGCCCGTAATCTGTCATGGGCCCCTGTACCGCCTCCTCATGCTGCTGCCAGGTCCAGAGTGTGTCATGGGTCCCTGTACGGCCTCCCATTGCTGCTGTCTCCATCGCCACACTCTGCCATGTGCCACTTTCAGGTCTCCTCACACTGCTGGTGGGTTCCATTTTTTCATAGGGTGCTGTATGGCCTCCCATTGCTGCTGCCTCCACCGCCACACTGTGGCTCCACACTCTGGTTTTGGCCCCGTGACTGCCCAAATGAGTGAAGTGTGCGGTGATTCTAAGATCGACGGCACTCATCTGCATGTCATACTGACTGACAGTATTATTTCTCTTCCCCAGCAGACTCCAAGGGCATTTAAATTAAAGGTACAGTGTTCTGCACTAATATAAAGGCTCTCTGAAGCCTAGAAACACCCTTTTTATAAGTTAAATTCGCAGCGAATATTTTCGACTCGAATCGAATTTATTCCGTGAATTCGCCGAATCAGCCGAATCAAATTTTTGAATACTTCGCTCATCTCTAGAAGCCACGATGTCTAGTGCCCCCTGTGCACAATGGCTTTCTTGATGTGTTGGGGGCAATCAGGAGGTGTTATGGCTCAACATACAGGGTCAGGATATTTTGTGCCCCCTTTGGACAAGGAAAGATCTGAATCTGCAGGAGGACATGATATCTGGTGCCCCTATGGACAATGGAGAGTCTTTATCTGTGCGATGTCCATGATTTGTGGCACCCCCCTATGGACAATGGAGGGTCTTTATCTGTCAGAAGTCCATGATTTCTGGCACCCCCTCTATGGACATTGGAGAGTCTTTACCTTATGCAAGGCTATGATATATTATGATATATTATGCCCTACTGTGGGCAATGACTTCCTTGGGGTGTTGGGAGCAATATACAAGGTCATGATATCTAGTTCCCCCTGTGGGCAATGGAAGGTCTTTATCTGTGGGAAATCCATGATATCTGGCATCCTCTATGGACAATGGAGGGTCTGTACCCCCAGGACGGCCATGATATCTGGTGCCCCCTTTGGACAATGGAGGGTTCTTACCTGCGGGAAGACTGTGATATCTGGCACCCCCAATGGATGATGGAGGGTCTTAATTTGTGGGAAGACTATGATATCTGGCACTCCCTATGGACAATGCAGGGTCTTTATTTGTGGGATGTCCATGATTTCTGGCACCCCTCTATGGACATTGGAGGGGCTTTATCTGCGGGAAGGCTATGATATGTGATGCGCCTCTGTGGAAAATGGATTCCTTGTGGTATTGGGGGCATTATACAGGATCATGATATCTAGTTCCCCTATGGACAATGGGAGGTCTTTATCTGCGGGAAGTCCATGATATCTGGCACCCCCTATAGACAATGGAGGGTCTTTACCCCCGGGAAGGCCATGATATCTGGTGACCCCTATGGACAATGGAGGGTCTTTATCTGTGATATCTGGCTCCCCTTTTGGACAATGGAAGGTCTTTATCTGTGAGAAAACTGTGATATCCGGTGCCCCTTATGAATTCCCTTATGGAGGGTCTTTATTTGCGGGAAGGGTGTGATATCTGGCTTCCCCCTTTGGACTATGGAGGGTCTTTATCTGTGAGAAGACTGTAAACTGGTGCCCCTTATGGACAATGGAGGGTCTTTATTTGCGGGAAGGCTGTGATATCTGTCTCCCCCTAAGGAAGACTGGTGAACCCTATGGACAATGGAGAGTCTTTATCTGTGATATCTGGCTCCCTCTTTGGACAACGGAGGGTCTTGATCTGGGAGAAGACTGATATCTGGTGCCCCTTATGGACGATGGAGGGTCTTTATTTGTGGGAAGGCTGTGATATCTGTCTCCCCCTAAGGATGATGGAGGGTCTTTATCTGTGATATCTGGCTCTCTCTTTGGACAATAGAGGGTCTTTATCTGCAGGAAGGCTGTGATTTCTGGTGCCCCCTATGGACAATGGAGGGTCTTTAGCTGAGGGAGTCCATGAAATCTGGCACCCCTATGGACAATGGAGGGTCTTTACCCCCAGGAAGGCCATGATATCTGGTGCTACTCTATGGACAATAAAAGGTCTTTATCTGCAGCAAAGCCATGCTATCATGCTCCCTATGGACAATGTCTTCTTGGGGTGTGTAGGGAATATGTTGGCATCTGTTGAAGGCAGTATTGTGGAGTATTCTGCAGTATTGTGAGGTGGTACATAGTTTGGCGGGGTGGGAGGCACTTTCCTGGTACCACAGGGAGATGGTGTGAGCAGTGTAAGGGTTAAATACCACTACGGGGTGGAGACTGTATATAGAAAGAAGGGTAAGTGCTGAGTCATCTAGGGGGCCTTCAGGGTGAAGCTCAGCCAGCACCCCGAAAAACTAAAAATAGACAGCAAAGGGTTAATGGTGGCGTAAGAAGATCATGGGTTTAATTCCGATAAACAGGTGCAGCCAATGGAAGGATTAAATATCGCACACAGTGAGGGAAGGGTTAAATGTCACAAACATGGGGGGGTGGGGGAGCGTGTAATATTGCACACAGTGAAGGAAGGGCACTGAAGGGTTAATGGCTGCAGCCAGGTGGGGGAGGAGCAGTAAAGGGTCACAGGAAGTGCTCAGTGGATACATTTCCTTCTTCCTATCTTTGCTGACTCTTCCCTCCCCTCCCCCAACAGAGCTCATACAGAGCAAGGAGCTCAGGAGACGCAGATCAGCAGGGAGGAAAGGAGTTAATGTTTTCCTCCTCCCAGGCCAGGCCTACAGCCAATCAGAGAGCTCGGTGACATCATCCGTGTGCTCAAGTAAAGGCCATGTTTTAGGCGGTGGGGCCCTCAACCTGGTCAGGGGTTTTACAGAAGGAACAGTTGCCTGGTTACTGGCTAACACACCAGGACCCTCAACCTGGTCAGAAGTGACACACAAGCAACATTCGCCTGGTGAGAGGTGGCACACCAGGACCCTCAACCTGGTCTAAGGTACCCACAAGGAATATTAGCCTGGTCACAGGTTACACTCAGGGACCATCAACCTGATCAGAGGTGATTTGGACCAATTGCCTGGTCAGAGCTGACACACAAATTCGGCTAGTCGGTGACTAACACATAAGGACTGTCCAACTGGTCATCGGTGACACACAAGGACCAACCACCTGGTCAGGGGTGACACACAAGGACTCTCAACTTGGCCAAAAGTGACAAGGAACATTTGCATGGTCAGAGGTGGCATACAAGTACCATCCATCTGATCAGAGGTGACACACAAGACCCATCTGACTGCAAGGTAACAGGTCTTTTCATTTGGCCGGGGGTGACACACAAGGACCACCTACCTGTTTAGAGGTATCAAACAAGCACTGTTCGACCTGGTCAGAGGTGACATGGCCTTCTACTGTCAGAAGGACAGCTATGCCTTCGAGCTGTCCGCAGAGGTCGTCTCCTGCACCCCGGCCAAGCTGCAAATTGACAATGGAGGTGGAAAGAAGGAGACCCTGTCCGGATACAATGTAACACTGACGGACACTGTACTCTTCCCGGAAGGAGGAGGACAACCTGACGACAGAGGGTTCATTGGGGAAAGTCCTGTTCTGCGTGTCACCCGCCAGGGCCCAGAAGCTTTCCACTTTCTCACCTCTCCTCTACAGCCTGGCACCCAGGTGCTGGTCAAGGTGGACTGGCAGCGGCGGTTCGACCACATGCAGCAACACTCTGGTCAGCACCTAATTACCGCCATTGCTGACTCCCTCTATGGATACAAGACGACGTCCTGGGAGCTGGGCCGACAGCGGAGCACCATAGAGCTAGATACGCCAGTGGTGAGTGTTCAGCAGGCAGATGCCATCGAAGAAAAGGCAAACCGCCTGATCCGCCAGCGTGTGCCTGTCACAGTGAGGATCATTGCCTTTGATGACCCCGAGTTTGAGCAGGTGAGGAGCCGGGGTCTGCCGGATGACCATGCTGGGCCAGTGAGAATCATTGACATGAAGGGTGTGGATGCCAACATGTGCTGTGGCACGCATGTGGCCAACCTGAGTGACCTACAGGCGGTGAAGATCCTGGGGACAGAAAAGGGCAAGAAGAACAAGACCAACCTCATATTCATCGCTGGTGAGCGGCTGCTGCAATACGCCACCCGCAGCTATGCAACTGAGCGCTCCCTGACTGCACTGCTGAAGAACGGACCTGAGCAGCATGTGGAAGCTGTGGACAAGCTTCAGAAGTCAGTGAAGATGCTGCAGAAGAACAATCTGAGCCTCCTGAGAGATCTGGCTGTACTCATCGCCAACGACTTCAAGAACCGCCCCGACCGTTCCAAAGTCTTCTCCCTGCACCGTAAGGAGGGCGACAACGAGTTCATGAACATCATCGCCAATGAGATTGGAACAGAGGACACTGTCATATTCATGACTGTTGGGGATGAAAAGGCATCAGGGCTCTTCTTGCTGGCTGGCCCTCCCAGAATAGTTGACGACCTGGGGCCCCGAGTGTGTAAAATCTTGGACGGTAAAGGGGCAGGAAAGGCAGGCCGATTTCAGGGCAAAGCCAATAAAATGAGCCAGAGGGGAGAGGCAGAGAAACTGGTGCAGGAGGTCACCTCCACTGAGAGCGAGCAATAGAGACCATCCTGGCTGGACCACCCTGGAGGATGCTAATAGGGAGAGGGGTAGAATCTGGACCACCTTGAGGGGACTATCAATGGATCCAGGAGTAGTGTCTGTCCCATCTAGATATTCTTAGGAGGCTACTAATAGATCTGAGAGGAGCAGGATTTTTCCCTCATAGATCTCACCAAGGGCTTCTTACAGATCCAGGAGGAGTAGTGTCTGTCCCATCTAAATCTTCCTGGGGTGTTTCTAATGGATCTAGGAAGGGTAAGGTCAAGATCTACCTGGGGGACTTCTAATGGAACCAGGAGGTGTAGGGTCTGTCCCATCTAGGTCTCCACGGGGGACCTTCTAATATATTTTGGAGGGATAAGGTTTATCCCATCTAGATCTCCCTGGGGGGCTTCTAATGGATCCAGGAGGGGTAAGGTCTGTCCTGTCTAGATCTCCCAAGAGGTCTTCTAATGTTTCGGGAGGGGCAGGGTCTGTTCATTCTGGATCTCCCTGGAGGTTTTCCATTAGATTCAGGAGGGGTAGGGTCTGTTCTTTCTAGATCTTTCTGGCAGTGTTCTAAATGATCTGGGAGGGGTAAGGTTTGTCTCATTTAGATCATCTCGGTTGGCTTCCAATAGATCCAGGAGGTGAAAGGTCTGTCCCATGTAGATCTTCACAGGGGGGCTTCTAATGTATCTGGGAGGGATTAGGTCTGTCCCATCCAGATCACCCCAGAGGGCTTCTAATAGATCCGGAAGAGACAAGGTCTGTCTCATGTAGATCTCCCAAGGGGCTTCTAATTGTTTCTGGAGGGGTAGGGTCTGTCCTGTTTAGATTTCCCTAAGGGCCTTCCAATTGATCTGGGAAGGGTAGTGTATGTTCTGTCTTGATCTGATGAGTGGGCTTCCAGTGAATCTGGGGGGGGTAAGATCTATCCTGTGAAGACCTCCGCAGGGGCTCTAATGGACTGGGGGCACTACATTCTAAAAGACTACAGCTATATGTCCTACTAGTATGGCTCAGAACATTCAAGGATCTCTACATGGATGGAACACAGGACTCCCTGAGGGAAGAGCTATACATGCAACATGCAGTCACGGCGATCAGTCATTGGACCATGTGATGGGTCATGTGACCCTAAATTTGTTACTGCTTGTGTAGCTCACCCCATAGGGATGTGGATATTCCATCTCTTGGTGATCAATATCCAGTCTGGCCAATCAACCTTTCCCCTGTAGCTCCAGCCTTGTAGTGAGTAACAATTGTCAGCCAAAAATAAATCATTCATAAAACAGAAATTATTGTCGTGATTGGATGGCTCAATGCAAAGGTACAGTATACACCAATGTTCAAGGCTCCTGGAGGCAGGTGATCAGCCTCATCTGGAATTTGCTAGCACTGGAAGGGTTGTTGTAGTCCCTCTGCTCTGGGGTGGTCTTGGCCGGTTCCACCCTACTGCAGGTCACTCACAACCCTTCTAATTAGAGAACTGTTGCCCAGAAACCCCATCCACTAAACACTGAAACATCAGTTCTGGGTGGAGTGACACTAAAGGAAGCTGCCACTGGTGTCCAGTTTTTGAAGGGTCTGATTCTGTCATCCTCCTCCTGCAATCACTACTCTAGTCACTGACCTAGAACTAGTTGATGGACATCGGGTGTCACAGCATTTCACTGGCTGCATGCTTGTTTCATGTCCATGAATAGAATGCCAGTGTCCATATTTCTGCACTGACAGGTTCACTTCAAAACCTTGGCTGGCACACCAAAACAGGTGAAGGACAAGCATGACATGGGCTTGATCATTTACGTCTGGTTACATTGTGTATAGCTTCTATCAAACCTGTCATTACAGGCAGAATGGGCTGCCATTGCTGACTTCTTTATGAAAATGCTAGTTGCTTGGCTGTCATGCTGATCCTCTGAAATCAGTGGATCAGCGTGACAGGCATTTTCAGAAGCCAGTCAGCAGTGGTGGCCTCCATGTTCCTCTCATGGCAGGTTTCCATTAATGGACAGACTTTGACAGATGCCTGTTGTAGATGTCTGTGTTTGGTGTTCCATATTTCTTATAGAGATAGGTGGATTCTTGTTCTATGGGTCAACAATATATGCACGTAAATGGCATCCTTGGATCCTGAATAGCTATTTTCGTGCACCACAATGTCTTCAACTGTTCTCAGGAGCCCCAAATTCCAGGGGCGCCCTAATACCCAGATACTGACCACTCTTCCTGACCCCACCCTTCTTGGCCACACCATTGGCCCATTAGTGTGATGAATGTCCTCACTGGCCAAAGGGGCAGAGCAAAGTTCTTGGTCAGGAATGCCGGGTGTTAAATACTGTGGCATCACCAGAATCTGGAGTAACAGATGATCAGCTGATCTTCTGCATCCTCTTTGCGGCCACCTCCTGTCTACATGCATTCCAGCGATGGTTGCATAGGGTTTCTCAGGGCTGGTTTTCTGAAGCTGACTACGTCTGTGTAATGTGTGCTGAAATGGCCACTTGTAGTCTCTATTGGAAACCTGTGGGACAGAGTGACAACACAAGAGAGCAATTTGGAGAAAGGAATAGCGTTGTCACTCTATAACAGGAAGAGCCTGAACAAGGCAGGATCCACCAGTTAGTTGTTATCACTCTGGCCAGACTTGACCTTTACTTTGAGCATCTGTAAAATGCAGTCACTACCACACTAGTAAGCATGCAGTGAGAAAAATAATTATTTGAACCCCTGCAGAATTTGTAAGTTTGCCCACTTACAAAGAAATTAAGGGTCTATCATTTGTATCATAGATGTATTTTAAATGATAGAGACAGAATATTAAACAATAATCCAGAAAAAATTCATGACACAAATGTTATAAATGGAATTGCAGTTCAGTGAGTAAAATAAGTATTTGATCCCCAAGCAAAACATGACTTAGTACTTGGTGGAGAACCCTTGTTGGCAAGCACAGAGGTAAGACGTTCCTTGTAGTTGGTGGAGGAACCCTTGTGGGAAGCACAGAGGACGTTCCTTGTAGTTGGTGGAAGCGCAGAGGTAAGACGTTCCTTGTAGTTGGTGGAGGAACCCTTGTTGAGAAGTGCAGAGGTAAGACGTTCCTTGTAGTTGGTGGAGAACCCTTGTTGGCAAGCACAGAGGTAAGACGTTCCTTGTAGTTGGTGGAGGAACGCTTGTTGGGAAGCACAGAGGTAAGACGTTCCTTGTAGTTGGTGGAGGAACCCTTGTTGGGAAGCACAGAGGTAAGATGTTCCTTGTAGTTGGTGGAGGAACCCTTGTTGGGAAGCACAGAGGTAAGACGTTCCTTGTAGTTGGTGGAGAAACCTTGTTGGCAAGCACAGAGGTAAGACGTTCCTTGTAGTTGGTGGAGGAACCCTTGTTGGGAAGCACAGAGGTAAGACGTTCCTTGTAGTTGGTTCCCAGGTTTGCACACATCTCAGGAGGGATTTTGGTCCACTCACCTTTACAGATCTTCTCTAAATCCTTAAGGTCTCTTGGCTGTCACTTGGCAACTCAAAGTTTCAGCTCCCTCCATACATTTTCTATAGGATTAAGGTCTGGAGATTGGCTAGGCCACTCCATGACCTTAATGTGCTTCTTCTTGAGCTACTCTTTAGTTGCCTTGGTGGTTTGTTTTGGGTCAATGTCATGCAGGAAGATCCATCCACAAACCATCTTCAGTGTTCTGGCTGAGGGAAGAAGGATATCATCCAAGATTTTAGAATGCATGGCCCCTCGATGCAGTAAAGTCGGCCTGTACCTTTATAGAGAAACAGCCCAAAAGCATAATGCTTCCTCCTCTGTGCTTGACTGTAGAGATGGTGTTCTTAGGGTCATAGTCAGCATTTTTCTTCCTCCAAACATGGCAAGTCAAGTTAATGCCAAAAAGCTCAATTTTGGTCTTATCTGACTACAGCACTTTCTCCCAATCCTTCTCTGAATCATTTAGATGGTCATTGGCAAACTTCAGATGGGCCTGTACATGTGCCTTCTTGAGGAGGGGGACCTTGTGGGCGCTGCAGGATTTCAATCCATGTATTGTGTTACCGATAGTTTGTTTGTTGACTGTGGTTCCAGCTGCCTTCAAATCATTCACAAGCTCCTCCCGTGTAGTTCTGAGCTGATCCCTCACTTTTCTCATGATCATCCTTACCCCATGAGGTGAAATCTTGCATGGAGCTCCAGACTGAGGGCGATTGATGGTTATTTTGTATTACTTCCATTTGCAAATAATCGTCCAAAAGTTGTCTCCTTCTCACCAAGCTTCTTGCCAATGGTCTTGTGCAGGTCTACAACCTTGTCCCTGACATCTTTTGACAGCTCTTTGGTCTTACCCATGGTGGTGAGGTTTGAATGGAAGACAAAGATTCTGTGGACAGGTGTCTTTTATACACATAATGAGTTGTCGTTAGAAGCCCCTTCCTAAATTGTAAGGAATAATCTGTGTACCACATGAGCACATAGCCAATCTGTGGGAGCCAGAATTATTTTTGGTTGGTAGGGGATCAAATACTTATTTTACTTACTGAACTGCAGCTCAGTTATGACATTTGTATCGTGTGTTTTTTCTGGATTTGTGGTTGATATTCTGTCTCTCTCATTTAAAATACACCCAAGATAAAAATGATAGAACCTTCATTTCTCTGTAAATGGGCAAACTTACACAATCTGCAGGAAATCAAATAATCATTTTCCCCACTGTATATGGTTGCCTTAAGCTTGGCCAGCAACCTGCCCCCAGGTCTGCCAACTGGACAATGAAGCAGCATCATAACACTAAATAAGCCATCACTCCACCCTGTTCTCCTGTCAGCAAGTTCCCAGTGTTAGATTAGCAGGACCATGCAATGTGCCTAATTGGTTGCAATGCAAGATATTTGAGGAAGCTAATATAAAGATGGGTTCTTATACTAGCTGTACATACATTGGATGGTTGGCATAGTAAAATGGTGACCAGATGTTTTTGGGCATTATTGTCCCATAGACCAGTCACACTCTGGATGTTCTGTAGGACCCAACTCTTTGTCTGTGAGAGGCAGCAAAGCACTGTGAGGTCCTGGAAAGGATGGAGATGTACCTTGTGGAGGAGAGAAAGGGTCATCCTCAGCATTCACACACAGTACTGGTGTCCTCACTTTTCCCAGCTTGTTGCAGGGACTGGCGTGGTGATAATAGTCGTCACATGACCGGTAACCAAAAACAACGGAGGTGTATCGCTCATCGAATTCCCGGATGGAGCGAGACTGCAATCAGAAAACAACCAAGGATGGAGAACATGAGAAAGGAAGAGGAGCTCCAGTAGGGTTCTAATGAGAAACATTTTCTTAGGGTCTGATAATATCTTGGGGTGCACAGGAAGCTGAACACTGCCATCTGTGACCAGATCTAAAATGTTTAGCATCATCAATCCGTGATAAAGACCCTTACTGGACACCCAACCCATACCTCCCAAGTGTCCTCTTCTGCCAACAACTGACTTCTCTAGAGCTTCCTCTCCTCCCAGGAACTGCTTCCCCTAAAATACTTTTCCTAGAAGTCCTGGGAACTCCTCCCATCAGTCTTCTCTAAATCTTTCTCACTTCCTGGGAACTTCTTCATTCATCAGGCCTCTCTAGGGCTTTCGCTCTCACCAGGAACTGATTCATTTATCAGGCATCTCTAGAGCTTTTTCTCCTCCCTTCATCAGACTTTTCTAGAGCTTTCTCTCCTCCCTTCCCCTTTTCGTACCATTGGCTGCTTCCTCCATCAGGCTTTTTTTTTCAGAGCTTCCTCCCTTCACAGGGACTCCCTTCATTGGGTTTCTTTAATGCTTTCTTTCTCACCAGGAACTTCTTCATTTATTGGGCTTTTCTAAAGCTTCCTCTCCAGCCTCTATTAGGCTTCTCTAGAGCGTTCTCTCCTGCTATACTAAATACCCAGCCAATGTCATCTCATTATCCTTTTCTACCCATAATCCACTTCTCTAGAGCTTCCTCAACTCCAAGGAGCTTCTTCCCTTCCTGCCACTAATTCCTTCCTCCGTAAGCTTTCTCTAGAGATTTCTCTCCTCCCGGGAACCCTACCATAACACTTTTCTAGAGCTTCCTCTCCTCCCTGGATCCCCTCCACAAGACTTTTCTAGAACTTTCTGTCCTCCCAGGAACTCCTCCCTCCATCAGGCTTTCTAGAGCTTCCTCTCCTCCTAGGAACTCTTCCCTTCATTAGACTTCTCTAGAGCTTCCTCTCCATCCAGGAACTCTTCCTTTCTTTAGACTTTTCTAAAACTTCCTCTCCTACCAGGAACTCCTCCCTCAATCAGACTTCTCTAGAGCTTTCTCTTCTCCAAGGAACTGTTCCCTCCATTAGACGTCTCTAGAGCTTCCTCTCCTCCCAGGAACTCTTCCCTCCATTAGACTTTGCTAGAGATTCCTCTCCGAACAGGAACATCCAATTCCATCAGTCATCTCAAGAGCTTACTATCCTCCCTTCATCAGGCTTTTCTAGAGCTTTCTCTTCTACCAGGAACTCCTTCCTCCATCTTCTTTAGAGCCTCTTCTACTCTCAGGATCTCCTCCGTCAGGCTTCTCTAGTGCATTTCTCCTACCAGTAACTGCTCCTTCCATCAGACTTCTATAGAGACTCCTCTCCTGCAGATCTCCCCCCATCAGTCTATATTAGGGATTCCTCTCCTCCCCGAAACTCTTTCCTCCATCGGACTACTCTAGAGCTTCCTCTCCATCCTGAAACTCTTTCCCCCACCAGACCTCTATAAAGGTGCTTTACCTCACAGAATCTCCATCATCTTTCTCTAGAGATTCCTCTCCTCCCAGATGTTCCTTCCACCATCATAATTCTCTAGAGCTTTCTCTCCTCCCAAAAACTCCTTTTTCCATAAGACTTCTCTAGAGCTTCCTCTTCTCCCAGGAACTTCTTCCTCTATTAAATTAGTCTAGAGCAGGGGTAGGCAACCTGAGAGCCGCAGGACTACAAGTTCCATCATGCCTCTGCAAGTCATAGCTGTAACTGTCAGTTTTGTAATCTTTGCAATGCCTTATGGGAAATGTAGTTCCACAACAGCGAGAGAGCCACAGGTTGCCTACCCCTGGTCTAGAGCTTCCTATCCTCCCAGAAACCCTTCCCTCCATCAGACTTCTCTAGGGCTTCCCCTCTTCCTAGGAACTCCTTCCTTTATCAGGCTTCTCTAGAGCTTCCTCCCCTCTCGAGAACTCCTTCATCAAACTTCACCCAAAAAACTACTCTAGATCTTCCTCTTCTTACAGAAACACTTTCCCTAATAGACTTTGCAAGAGCTTCCTCTTCACCAAGAAACTCTTTCCCCAACAGACTTCTTTATAATTTCATGTCCTCCAAGGAACTCCTTCTTTCAGACTCCTTAATAATGATTTTCCCTTCTTCCCCTCACAAGAGAGGTCTCCACCTTAGTTGGTTTGGCCTCTCTAGGCCTGCCTATCCTGTTCATGAAATTTATTTTCATAGAAAGTTCCCTTGGCCTCCTTTACCTCTTTCATCTACAAATACATTTTGGCTCAGTGGAAAGGGATGCTGGGGTCTGGAACATTCTGAATCCTTCTTTTGATGTTGATCTTACCTGTAATATGTGTTCCACATCCATAACCTTTCCAATGATGTCCCGGTACCTGCGATGAAAGAAAATGAGCCATGAACATAGAAAGAGCTATGGCAGAGCAAGGTGCCGACCAACAGGTCAACCATGGACACGTAAATGTCAGATCGCACACTATGTGGTTGGTGGCCACTACTTACTTAAGTATGGTGTTCCGCATGCCGGAGGCCAGGTTTCGGTTAAATAAGAGGTAATTTAGTGGCCTCTCCAGTGAAGTGGTGGATGCAAACACGTCCCAGGGAGTGGAGAACACCAGCGCAGCTTGGAGGTGAGACCTGGATCCGGTAGAGGCCAAATAATTCAGAAGAACCATCCTAGAGGGTAAAATAAAGAGCTAAAACATAGAACCTGCAACCTCCCCATACCCCATAGTAGTGACCCAAAGTTCTGCTATTGGGGTTGAGGGAAACATATTCCATACCTACGGCTACTGCTGGACTCTTATCTCCTTCCACGAGGACATACAATACTTAGCTCGCAGCCTAAATCTCACCAACACTTTTCTCTAGTTTTAGATGAAGTGGGGGAGGGTTTGAACTCCTGTCAGGTGCTTTCTGCTTGATTTTCCCTCATTTCCTGCTCCAGTGACCACATGGGACATGAAGGAAAATCACCGAACCAGGACATGGACAGCTATAAAAAAAATAACCAGCGACATAACTGTTTTCTATTGAAGTGACTGCCTAATGCCTATGATGAGAATATTGGACACAAGCGAGTGATCGTACGATAATTTGATCGTTAGTACGCAGCTTTCGAGAGCCTATCATGACAGTTCATGTGAAAATATCCAAAGGAACAAGTATGAAAATATTTCTTGGAAGATAACACAACAAGCGATTTTCCGTGTATTAGTATAGTATTTTTACGAAAAAAATTGATAAAGACCACACATGCTCGGAAACAAACGAATACATTACAATGCAATACATTACATCACTTCTGAAGTTCTATTCTGTTCTATGAGAATTTTAGTAACCTATTCCTTTTCGATATGAGCCTAGCATGCAAAAAAATTAACCACCGCCCGTTGTATATAAATGGCCAGGCGGTGGCAGTGCAGGGTCAGGTGGCCGTTTATAAACGTCCTCCCCGCCCCCTGCTTGTGCGCGCTCCCTGGGAGCGCAAAGCACCGCAATCCGGTGCCCACTGTGTCCTCCGGACACTGTGGAACACCGATCGTCGTACTGGACCTCTGTGCGAGGTCCCAATCATGTGATCACTGATTGGCCAATCAGTGATCACATGCAGAGTAGTAAGCAAGATGTCACTTTTGACATCATTGCTTACTACGTGTGAAATCTGTGAATGATCACAGAGATCACATGGTACAGGGCTATTCACAACTGCCTTGTACCATGTGACAAGCTGTGACCAATCACAGCTCTCACAGTATTTCTCAATGGCTGCAGGAATGAAGCCAGAGAGAAGGAGAAATGATTGCTTTTACAGCCTTTATGGGTGTAAACGCAATCAGTGTAAAAAGAAAAAAATCTTCATCACCCCCCACAAGTAGTACAGTGTCACTATGGTGACGCTGTACTGCTAGGGTGACAGTATGTAAAAAACAAACAAAAAAAACATAAATAATATAAAAAAAAATTAAAAATGTTTAAAAATTATAACTTTTGGTTATAAACTAATTTGGGTTTTATTTTGTTTTACTAAAAAGATAATGGAATAAATTTTGGCCAAGATTTACGAAGAAATATTGTTTATATGCAAAATTTTATAAGAAAACTTTTCAAAATTTTTGGACTTTTTCATTTATATAGCAAAAAAAAATAAAAATCCCAGCGGTGAATAAATACCACCAAAATAAAGCTTTATCTGTCTTGGAAAAATGCTAAAAAATTCATACGGGTACAGTGTTGCATGACCGCGCAATTGTCATTCAAAGTGTGATAGCGCTGAAAGCTGAAAATTGGCCTAGGCTGGAAGGGGGTGAAAGTGTCCGGACTTGAAGTGGTTAAAAAAATGGACAATGGTTCGTCGAATATTCTCATTATGTGTACTACGTGTGACTTCCTGTCCTGGCGATCAAATGGGTCAAGTGGAGTTGGGTTTTAGAAGGGTGGCATCAGAGGGGACTGACAACTCATTGGGCCCCCGGGCAATCATAGGGCCCCTGTGTCCTACACCCAAGAAAGCCTATAAAAGGTACCATGGGCATTTCATGGGGCCTCCTACTGACCCTGGGCCCTCGGGCACTGCCCGAGTGCTCGAATGGTCAGTCCGCCCCTGGGTGGTATGATGTGGTGCACCTCCGTTATTCAGTTCCTCCAGATTTAAAGATGTCCCACCAAACACATATGTACAAAATGCTCTGGTGGACTCACCCGCCCATCGAGACCCCCACCGCCAACAGAGGAGCCCCAAGGTAGCGACTCCGGACATGTTCCACCACCCTGCTCAGGTCTTCAGTGTTAGCGGCACAGAACGTCCGATGAGTCTGAAGAGAGAAGAAAACTTATAAAATCCGCCGTCCCCGGATCTCCACCACCTGCGCCAACGTCTGGTACTCACCAAGAGCTCCTCTCCTCCGAAACCGCGATTGTTGAACACTACGCACCTGCCAAGAGAAAGAGGGACTCGTCACAAAGCCAGCCAATGTGTGGGGAACTACCGCGGCCATTTTGCACTGCTGAATGCCGGTGCCATTGATTTGGGGTGCAGGAGTTTAGGGGCCACGCATTTCAGTGTATTATTTTTTGGCATGTAGTAAATAGAATCAGTGAGCGCTTAGTGATGTAGCAGCTGTAGCACATAAAAGGCAACCAAAATAAAACCTCGTAAGATACATATATAAGAAAAGTGCAGTGCTAAAAGGTATATACTCCAGTCCGGTAATAACATATAAAATGATAAAATAATAATATAATAAAATAATAAAATTGGTGACAGTTCGCGATAGGTGATCTGTACAGGAGTACCATTTTATGCTATTCATGTGAAATCGCAAGAAAACTGCAGAAAAAGTTACGCAAGAACTACTTTAGATATTGCGCCACAGCAAATCGCACAGGTTAAGACACCGACATTCACATTCATTAGATGCAATTTCAGGTACGATTTCTGAAAACTATGTGGCGACTTGTGAAGATTTTCAGCGATTTCTTGCGATTTTCATTTTATTCTATGTATGTGAAATCGCAACAAAACTGCAAAAAAATTATTCAAGAATTATTTTAGAAATCGCTCTGCAGCAAATCACATGTGTTAAGACGCCGACGTTCACCTTCATTAGATGCGATTTCTGAAAACTTTGTGGCGACTTGTGAAGATTTTCAACGATTTCTGGCGATTTGCATTTTATTCTATGTATGTGAAATCGCAACAAAACTGCAGAAAAAGTCGTGAAAGAACTACTTTAGAAGTAACTGCAGCAAATCAAGGGATCGGGTAATTGGTTGTAGATCTCGGATTGTGAGCAGGTTGATTGCATTGGATACATTGTATTGTGTATGGTGACCCTTAGCCCTGGTTCACACTGGATCCAACTTTGAAATCGTGTGACTTCACTTGAAGTTGCACAATTACAAAGTTGCATGTCAATGCGACTTCAAGTGTGACTTGACAGACATCTGTGCGATTTCATTCACAGATGTCTATGGAAGTTGCACCTGAAATCGCAAAAAATAGTGCAGGAACTACATTCAAACAGGTTCATTGCCGACAATAGGGTGCAACTTGTCATGTGATTTGAAACTGTCAAATCGCATGACAAGCCACACTGGTGTGAACCAGGGCTTAGGATGGATGGGATTGGGTCATTCTTAGATTGTGAGCAGATTGATTGTATTGGATACAGTGTTGCTCTACATCTGCTGCTTCCAACTTATTGGCTGATGTGAGATCAAAGAAATATGAACTGTATGTGATCACTCCAGATGGGGCGACCTGCCACCTGCCTAAGTATTGTGCGTGTGGGTTACGTCCAGGGGCGGACTTACATCTGATGGGGCCCCCGGGCAATAGGAAATCATGGGGCCCCTGTGTCCTTGCCCACACTCATACCACACCCAAAAACGCCTATGAAAGGTACCGGGGGCATCTCATGGGGCCCCCTACTGACCCGGGCCCTTGTGCCCGAATGGTCAGTCTGCCCCTGGTTACGTCCCACATAACAGCCAGTCAGATTTCTTCTTTCATTGTGTGCTGTGGTCAGACCTGGCTTGTGATTGGTTGTCATGGAAGGTCTCACCTGTATCCGTTGGTGTGGGCCTGCCGAACCAGGTGCAGGATGTAGGACTGCTGGCTGTTCCCAGTCAGTCCTGGTAACAGGAGGATTGTAGGACGAGAGGAGGATTCTGGGAAATGCGTGCTGTCCTCATTGTCGGTCCAATCCAAAGAGATCTGACCACCGTCTGCCGTGCTGATCACCTCACTGTGCAGGGAGACAGTAAAAGACGTCATCATATATACCATATACACACACATACAGTATATATACATATATATATACACTATATTGCCAAAAGTATTGGTCGGCCGGCCTTTCCACACACATGACCTTTAATGGCCCCCCAGTTTTAGTCCGTAGGGTTCAATATTGAGTTGGCCCCGCCCTTTGTAGCTATAACAGCTTCAACTCTTCTGGGGGAGGGCCGTCCACAAGGTTTAGGAGGGTGTCTATGGGAAGGTTGGACCATTCTTCCAGAAGCACATTTGTCAGGTCAGGCACTGATGTCGGGGGAGGAGGCCTGGCTCGCAGTCTCCGCTCTAATTCATCCCAAAGGTGTTCTATGGGGTTGAGGTCAGGACTCTGTGCAGGCCAGTCAAGTTCCTCCACCCCAAACTGGCTCCTCCATGTCTTTATGGACCTTGCTTTGTACACTGGTGTGCAGTCATGTTGGAACAGGAAGGGGCCGTCCCCAAACTCTTCCCACAAAGTGGGGAGCATGAAATTGTCCAAAATGTCGCCTTAAGAGTTCCCTTCACTGGAACTAGAGGGCCAAGCCCAACCCCTGAAAAACAACCCCACACCATAATCCCCCCTCCACCAAACTTTACATTTGGCACAATGCAGTCAGGCAAGTACCGTTCTCCTGGCAACTGCCAAACCCAGACATGTCCATCAGATTGCCAAACAGAGAACCGTGGTTGGTCACTCCAGGGAGTACGTCTCCACTGCTCTAGAGTCCAGTGGCGGCGTGCTTTACACCACGGCATCCAGCGCTTTGCATTGCACTTGGTGATGTAAGGCTTGGATGCAGCTGCTCGGCCATGGAAACCCATTCCATGAAGCTCTCTAAGCACTGTTGTTGGGCTCATCTGAAGGCCACACCAAGTTTGGAGGTCTTTAGCTATTGACTCTGCAGACAGTTGGTGACTTCTGCGCACTGTGCGCTTCAGCATGCACTGACCCCGCTCTGTCATGTGACGTGGCCTACCACTTGGTGGCTGAGTTGCTGTTGTTCCCAGTTGCTTCCACTTTGTTATAATCCCACTAACAGTTGAGCGTGGAATATTTAGTAGCCAGGAAATGTCACGGATGGACTTATTGCACAGGTGACAACCTATCACGGGACCACGCTTGGAATCACTGAGCTCCTGAGAGCGACCCAGTGCCAGGGATTGTGATCAGTACCGGGGACGGTGATCAGTGCCGGGGACGGTGATCAGTGCCGGGGACGGTGATCAGTACCGGGGACGGTGATCAGTACCGGGGACGGTGATCAGTACCGGGGACGGTGATCAGTGTCAGGGATGGAGATCAATGCTAGTGATCAGTGCCAGGGATGGTGATCAGTGCTGAGGTTAGTAATCAGTACTGGGGATGGTGATCAGTGTTGGGGATGGAGATCAATGCTAGTGATCAGTGCCAGGGATGATGATCAGTGCTGAGGATAGTAATCAGTGCCAGGGATGGTGATCAGTGCTGAGGATAGTAATCAGTGCCAGGGATGGTGATCAGTGCTGAGGATAGTAATCAGTGCCAGGGATGGTGATCAGTACCGTACTGGGCATAGTGATTTGTGATGCGGATCAGTGCCAGGGATGGAGACCAATGCTGGGGATCAGTACTGGGGATACCGATCAGTGCAGAGGATGGTGATCAATGATGAGGATGGCGATTAATGATGAGGATGGTGATCAGTGCGGGGGATGGTGATCAGTGCCGGGGATTATAGATACCTTCATCCCCAGAACCTCACCCTCCATGACACCAATTTGGTAATATTATGACACCAATCAGAACATATTATATTTCTACATCCATATGAAGGACATATGCCACATACACCATGGCGGTGTACACTCTAGTAGTTGGATGTTGGTACCGGGTGTACATTGACCTCCGGAATACAGAGGCTCCACTGACTCCGCCCCCATCTCACACACCACCGGACTTTAGTCTGCTTCTAGTTTGGTAAGTTTTGTTTATTTTGTGCAGAAGAGATCAGAGATCGTCCAATCACAGCACAGCATCTGAGAGAGACAAAATCATCAAGAGCCATATACATACAGTATCTCCCAGAAGTGAGTCCCCCCCTCACATTTGTGTAAATATTTGATTCTCTCTTTTCATGTGACAACACTGAAGAAATGACACTTTGCTACAATGTGACGTAGTCAGTGTATGGCTTGTATAACATGTAAATTTGCTGTCCCCTCAAAATAACTCAACACACAGCCATTAATGTCTAAACCGCTGGCAACAAAAGTGACTCCCCCTAAGTGACAAGGTCCAAATTGGGCCCAATTAGCCATTTTCCCTCCCCGGTGTCATGTGACTCGTTAGTGTTACAAGGTCTCAGGTGTGATTGGGGAGCAGGTGTGTTACATTTGGTGTTATCGCTCTCACTCTCTCATACTGGTCACTGGAAGTTCAACATGGCACCTCATGGCAAAGAACTCTCTGAGGATCTGAAAAAAAGAATTGTTGCTCTACATAAAGATGACCTGGACTATAAGAAGATTGCCAAGACCCTGAAACTGAGCTGCAGCACGGTGGCCAAGACCATACAGCGGTTTAACAGGACAGGTTCCACTCAGAACAGGCCTCGCCATGGTCCACCAAAGAAGTTGAGTGCAGGTGCTCAGTGTCATATCCAGAGGTTGTCTTTGGGAAATAGATGTATGAGTGCTGCCAGCATTGCTGCAGAGGTTGAAGGGGTGGGGGGTCAGCCTGTCTGTGGGGCCAGCATTGCTGCAGAGGTTGAAGGGGTGGGGGTCAGCCTGTCAGTGCTCAGACCATACGCCACACACTGCATCAAATTGGTCTGCATGGCTGTCATCCCAGAAGGAAGCCTCTTCTAAAGATGATGCACAAGAAAGGCTGCAAACAGTTTGCTGAAGACAAGCAGACTAAGGACATGGATTACTGGAACCATGTCCTGTGGTCTGATGACACCAAGATCAACTGATTTGGTTCAGATGGTGTCAAGCGTGTGTGGCGGCAACCAGGTGAGGAGTACAAAGACAAGTGTGTCTTGCCTACAGTCAAGCATGGTGGTGGGAGTGTCATGGTCTGGGGCTGCATGAGTGCTGCCGGCACTGGGGGGCTACAGTTCATTGAGGGAACCATGAATGCCAACATGTACTGTGACATACTGAAGCAGAGCATGATCCCTCCCTTCAGAGACTGGGCCGCAGGGCAGTATTCCAACATAACGACCCCAAACACACCTCCAAGACCACCACTGCCTTGCTAAAGAAGCTGAGGGTGAAGGTGATGGACTGGCCAAGCATGTCTCCAGACCTAAACCCTATTGAGCATCTGTGGGACATCCTCAAATGGAAGGTGGAGGAGCGCAAGGTCTCTAACATCCACCAGCTCCGTGATGTCATCATGGAGGAGTGGAAGATGGAAGGTGGAGGAGCGCAAGGTCTCTAACATCCACCAGCTCTGTGATGTCGTCATGGAGGAGTGGAAGAGGACTCCATTGGCAACCTGTGAAGCTCTGGTGACCTCTATACCCAAGAGGGTTAAGGCAGTGCTGGAAAATAATGGCGGCCACACAAAACATTGACAGTTTGGGCCCAATTTGGACCCTGTCACTTAGGGGTGGACTCACTTTTGTTGCCAGCGGTTTAGACATTAATGGCGGTGTGTTGAGTTCTTTTGAGGGGACAGCAAATTTACATGTTATACAAGCTGTACACTGACTACGTCACATTGTAGCAAAGTGTCATTTCTTCAGTGTTGTCACATGAAAAGAGAGAATCAATATATTTACACAAATGTGATGGGGGGACTCATTTATGGGAGATACTGTATATATCACCATAGAAAGCCGGAGGAACCCCTAAAACCATCTTCATGACTTGGGGAACCCTGAATAAAAATCCTATTTATAGATATAATATTAAATAAAAGAATGGAATGTGCCAAGATCATGTGACACCCAATGGGGATCATTCTTACCCTCCCCTTCCCCATCACTCTATATGATAGTAATCACCAAATTCCTATAAAAAGTTTAAAAAATGTCCATAATGTAACACAGACCCCCCTTACATTAGTGCAGGGATGGTGAAAACCCCTCATATTGGGCACAGCAGGTGTACATACCCGGAAACTCAGAACAAGGATGGTGGGAACCCCTCATAATGGGCACAGCGGGTGTACTAGCTCGAGAACTCGGCACAGGGATGGTGGGAACCCCTTATAATGGGCACAGCGGGTGTACGGGCTAGAGAACTCGGCACAGGGATGGTGGGAACCCCTCATAATGGGCACAGCGGGTGTACGGGCTCGGGAACTCGGCACAGGGATGGTGGGAACCCCTCATAATGGGCACAGTGGGTGTACGGGCTCGGGAACTCGGCACAGGGATGGTGGGAACCCCTCATAATGGGCACAGCGGGTGTACGGGCTTGGGAACTCGGCACAGGGATGGTGGGAACCCCTCATAATGGGCACAGCGGGTGTACAGACCCGGGAACTCAGCACAGGGATGGTGGGAACCCCCCATAATGGGCACAGCGGGTGTACAGACCCAGAATGAGTCCCCCTTTAGAAGGAGTCCTTGTCACTTACTTCCTGTAGGTAGGTCGGGGTCGGGATAGCAGTAGTACTCGGACGATGGTCTGGAGTCTCCCACCTACACACCAGAACGTCGGTCGGTAGTCGCTCCTCACCACGGGGCAGTGAGATTCCAGGAACTGGCGGAGACGTCCTGCTGCCACCAGGCGCGGTCTCTGCAACCAATCACAGGCAGGAGATGGGTGAATGGTTTATAGAAGAGAAGAAGGGAAATATATTGTCCAACCTCAGTGTGCATTGTGTATGGTCCATCCCGTGTTATGGATGGGGGTGGGGGGTTGTAACTCTGCCAGGTCTACATATTCGAAATTTCTCATCACTTCCTGTTCTGGTGACAACATTTCAAAATTCTTACTACTTCCTGTTCTGGTAACAACATTTTAAAAAACTCACTACTTCCTGCTCTGATGACAACATTTTGACATTCTACTTCCGGTTCCAGTGACATCGATTAAAAAAAAAACTCACTACTTCTTGTTCTGGTGACATTTTAGAAAACTCACTACTTCTTCTTCTGGTGACATTCTGACATTCTACTTCTGGTTCTGGTGACAGCATTTTAAAAAAACTCACTACTTCCTGTTCTGGTGACATTTTGAAATTTCCCATCACTTCCTGTCTTAGTGACACCAGGACAGACAGAGGGTAAATCGCCCCAGGAGGGACACAGAAAGGAATAAACTGCGGACAGAGGATCTAACCCCTCTCCACCCCATTCATACCTAAACCCCGAGTCTGGGCAGATCAAGTCTCACCATGTATGTGTCTCAGCTCTGTCCCCCATTAATGACTGTCGGAGTCCCGAGGATGTACATGGCCGACGGTGACACTGACCTTACAGATGTAGTGCAGGTAGTAGCAGCCCCAGGTGACACCGACCCCCAGGAGCAGTGCAGACAGAGGGGGGCTGGGAAGAGACGATGGGAGCCGCCATTCCACCGACATGTTACTGACTACACCACATACGCCGATCTGTCACTTATTATCAATTATACAACGATCTGTCACCAGTCTGTCATCAATCATACAATCATCTGTCACCGATTACACTGATCTATCACCAATGTGTCATCAATCACATACCGATCTTTCACCGATCACACACCGATCTGTCACCGATCACACACTGATCTGTCACTGATCACGCATCGATCTGTTACTAATCTGTCACTGATCACACACCGATCTCACACCGATCTGTCACCAATCACGCACTGATCTGTCACTGATCACACACTGATCTGTCACTGATCACGCACCGATCTGTCACCGATCACACACTGATCTGTCACTGATCTATAACTGATCACACACTGATCTGTCACTGATCATGCATCGATCTGTCACTGATCACGCATCGATCTGTTTCTGATCTGTCACTGATCACACACCGATCTGTCACCGATCACACACTGATCTGTCACTGATCAGACACCGATCTGTCACCGATCACACATCGATCTGTTACTGATCTGTCACTGATCACGCATCGATCTGTCACTGATCACACATCGATCTGTCACTGATCACACACCGATCTCACTCCGATCTGACACCGATCACACACTGATCTGTCACTGATCACACACCAATCTGTCACCGATCACACACTGATCTGTCACTGATCACGCATCGATCTGTCACTGATCACACATCGATCTGTCACTGATCACACACCGATCTCACTCCGATCTGACACCGATCACACACTGATCTGTCACTGATCACACACCAATCTGTCACCGATCACACACTGATCTGTCACTGATCACACACCGATCTGTCACTGATCACGCATCGATCTGTCACTGATCTGTCACTGATAACGCATTGATCTGTTACTGATCTGTCACTGATCACACACCGATCTGTCACTGATCACACACTGATCTGTCACTGATCACACACCAATCTGTCACCGATCACACATCGATCTGTCACTGATCACACATCGATCTGTCACTGATCACACACCGATCTGTCACCGATCACACCAACCTGTCATCGATCTGTCACCGATCTCACACCAATCTGTCACCGATCACACAATAATTTGTCACTGATCACATACCAATCTGTTACCAATCTATCATTAATGACACACAGATCAATCACCAATCACACAAGGACCTGCCGGTGATCCTATTCAGTCAATGTGACACAATGTAACTCTCCCCAGCAAGTTTCATTTAGCAATGCCAGAGCCCCGCCCACAGGAAGTAACAAGCCCTCCCAGCTAGAGCTCTGGGCAGCCATCTTGGTTCAGGGTGGTTTGGTTAACCTATAACTGCCCAGAGAGGATCGCTCCGTCCTGCAGATTTTACTAGGATGAGAAATTCTCCATTTAAAGTTCTGTTAAAAAAAAAAAATGGAAATGAAAACATCGAAATAGATTTTTCCCACTAATGACTGGGGGGGGGGGGGGGGGGGGGGATATTCTGCTTGGCACTAAAGCCTGGAAGGGGGACATAATATTCTACTGGCCACTAATACCTGAAAAGGAGGGGGGGGGGTATTTTACATGCCACTAATGCCTGGAAAGGTGGAGGGGAAGGCCTAGAAAGGTAGAATATTCTACTTGCCACAAATGCCTGAAAAGGGAGGAGGGTTATTCTGCTGGCCACTAATGCCTGGATATGGAGGGGGTTAGTATTCTGCTGGCCACTAATGCCTGGAAATAGAGGGAGGGGTAATCTGCTGGCCACTAATGCCTGGATATGGAGGGGGTTAGTATTCTGCTGGCCGCTAATGCCTGGAAATAGAGGGAGGGGTAATCTGCTGGCCACTAATACCTGTATATGGAGGGGGTTAGTATTCTGCTGGCCACTAATGCCTGGAAATAGAGGGAGGGGTATCCTGCTGGCCAATAATGCCTAGATATGGAGGGGGGGGGGGGGGGGGTGATATTCTGCTGCCACTAATGCCTGTAAATGGAGGGTGAGGGGTATTTTGCTGGCCACTAATGCCTGGATATGGAGGGGGGGTGGTATTCTGCTGGCCACTAATGCCTAGATATGGAGGGGGTTAGTATTCTGCTGGCCACTAATGCCTGGAAATAGAGGCAGGGTGGTACTCTGCTGGCCACTAATGCCTGGAAATGGTGGGGAGGGGAATTCTGCTGGCCACTAATGCCTGGAAATGGAGGAAGGGGTATTTTGCTGGCCACTAATGCCTGGAAATGGAGGGAGGGTGGTATTCTGCTGGCCACTAATGCCTGGATATGGAGGAGGGTGGGATACTGCTGGCCACTAATGCCTGGAAATGGAGGGTGAGGGGTATTCTGCTGGCCATTAATGCCTGGATATGGAAGGTGAGAGGTATTCTGCTGGCCACTAATGCCTGGATATGGAAGGTGAGAGGTATTCTACTGGCCATTAATGCCTGGAAATTGAGGGAGGGTGGTACTCTGCTGGCCACTAATTCCTGAAATGGAGGGAGGGTGGTATTCTGCTGGCCACTAATGCCTGGATATGGAAGGTGAGAGGTATTCTGCTGGCCACTAATGCCTGGATATGGAAGGTGAGAGGTATTCTGCTGGCCACTAATGCCTGGATATGGAGGGGTGGTGGTATTCTTCTGGCCACTAATGCCTGGATATGGAGGGGGTTAGTATTCTGCTGGCCACTAATGCCTGGAAATAGAGGCAGGGTGGTACTCTGCTGGCCACTAATGCCTGGAAATGGAGGGAGGGTGGTATTCTGCTGGCCACTAATGTCTGGAAATGGAGGGGGTTAGTATTCTGCTGGCCACTAATGTCTGGAAATGGAGGGGGTTAGTATTCTGCTGGCCACTAATGCCTGGATATGGAAGGTGAGAGGTATTCTACTGGCCACTAATGCCTGGATATGGAGGGGGTGGTGGTATTCTGCTGGCCACTAATGCCTGGAAATAGAGGCAGCGTGGTACTCTGCTGTCCACTAATGCCTGAAATGGTGGGAGGGGAATTCTGCTGGCCACTAATGCCTGGAAATGGAGGAAGGGGTATTTTGCTGGCCACTAATGCCTGGATATGGAGGGAGGGTGGTATTCTGCTGGCCACTAATGCCTGGAAATGGAGTGAGGGTGGTATTCTGCTGGCCACTAATGCCTGGAAATAGAGGCAGCGTGGTACTCTGCTGGCCACTAATGCCTGGAAATGGAGGGAGGGGTATTCTGCTGGCCACTAATGCCTGAAAACTGGATAAAGGAAGATGATACCATGTTATTATGCCCACACCCCATCAATATATATATAACACAAAACAAAGGGACTGTGGGAAGGCATACAGGTAGTGAGTGAAGCCAACAAAAGAGAAAATATACCATAAAATACTACGTTTATTGTACAAAATAATTAAAAAAAAGACATAGTAGTAATAGTAGTGACCATCTCCATGTATTAGACCCAGGTATCATTGTTATCTGTACTACAGAGAACATTCTTGTTTTTACAAAGTAGGTCCGCATATCGGCAGTTTGAAAAAAGTGCTAGTTAGGTGCTGCCCTGGATGGGAGGGTTAATGCCTTTCCCGGTTTGGTGGGTTATCTCTAGGTCTGACCAGGGGCGGACTGACAACTCATGGGGCCCCCGGGCAATAGGGGATCATGGGTCCCTGTGTCCTTGCCCAAACTCAAAAAAGCCTATGAAAAAGGTACCAGGGGCATCTCATGAGGCCCCCTACTGACCCCGGGCCCTTGGCCAGTGCCCGAGTTTCCAAATGGTCAGTCCGCCCCTGGGTCTGACCCACTGATCCTGTGATATAAAAGAGAGACAGTGGTCCAGAAGAGAGAGAAAGACCTGGAGCACCGGGTCTGAGAGCACCAGAGAGAAGGGAAAGAAGAGAGAAGTTGAGCGGGACCAAATCTTTGAGCCCAGAACCCGGCTGCTGTCAAGAGGAAGCCCAAAGCAAACTTCTGGGAGCCTATCATAATGTAGGAGGTCCTCGGGACCTGGTGTTCACCCGAAGACACCAGCTGCTGGTAATGCCCATGATGGTCATTTTTGAAAATGGACTCAACCTTTTGCAGGTATGCAGGGGCAGCACATAGCCTGAGTTAGGAATAGGGACGTAGGAAAAATTCTGTTTTGCATGTTGGACTTTGAGATGTTCATTTTGCTGTTTGAGATGTTCAGTAAAGCTTTGAAACTTTGTTCCCACCTGGTCTGAAGTTACTCAAAGGGGTGCAATGCAAGAACTTGCAACTATGGCCTAAGGTTTGGGTCATTAGCACATGGGGTATGAAGAATCAAGATGCTAAGAGTCATCCTAGTGTGGTTCCTATACGCAACGAAGGTCTGCAAGCAGTCTGTCGGAAACGTGTACCTGTTATAGGTGGAACTGCCTGTACCGTGAGGGAGATGTTGTCGGCACTCCCAATGCCAGATTTTTGTCTCCCACAGCAACCGGAGCGGAACTGTACGGCAATGGTCCCCATCCTGTACAGAGGCATGGAAGTTCAAGAGTTAAAGTCAAGTGCACATTGGAGCCTGCGTTACGTGCATGGTGGGGTTCCATGCTGCTACCGGGACTGGTAGTGGGAAAACGATCAGCACGGCCCGCCTAATTGGAAGCAACAGTAGAAAGATGTACACTTACATGGGGACCAGAGTTCAATGAGGAACAGTTATGGTGCAAGTGTACATGGTGTATGTTCATCTCTAATAGTAGAGGCCTGCTTTAGGGTTATGTATTCCCCGAAGGTGGCCTTAGCCTTGCCACGGCATTGATGAAAACGGCACAATGTAAAGGTACCCCATGTGTATTGAAAGTGATCCAGTTACAGGTGCCCAGCATAGCCCTGAAGAGGGTAGTCCTCTTATCTGACCGAGACTTGGCACCCAATGAGTTGATGGGAAACATGGAGGAAGGTTCACCTGCCCTCAACTGGCCCACACACATAAGAAGCTTGACGTGTTTCGCAAACACCCTTTCTTCTTCTGGAGTGCATGTGAATGATGTCCAAGA